TTTTGTCTTTTGTTATTTTTTTTATTTTAGTTCTTCCTTTTTAATTCTAAAAAAAGCACTATTATATTACGTAAATTTTGCGCTTTTGAGTAACACTAGTCTGAGGTTCTTCTGATCTTATTTAATAAAGTTATAAATAATTTAATCTTTTTGCTTTTTTGATTTTACTTTCCTTTTTAGAATTTTTTCTGCTTAAGCCTTTTCTTTAAAATTCTGTTAAAAATGTTTTCAAATGCAGAAAATTTTGTGCCTGTATATAATTTTGTTTTGAATTTTTTAGTATTTAATTTGGATGAGCTACTATTAATCTTGTTTTTATCTCTTTTATATTACTTATTTAAATAAACTTTTTTATTTTTCTTGAATTTTCTATCTATTTATATATATAACACTAACTTCTATCTATTTAGGGATGACTACTAGTCATTAAATTAAACCAAAAATCTTTTGAATACACAAAAGACTAAAAAAAATAGCTTTAAACGCTAGAATTACTTAAGAGTCTTTTAAGGATTAATCACAGAAAATCCTTTTTATATCTATCTTTATAGATGCTTATAATCACTATATAAAGAGGGTAGACCAAGCTAATCAACTCTGAGCAGTCTATACTACTCATTTTTATTAAAATTAAAAGGGAAACCGTATTGCCGAACTAGGTACATTCACCACGAGATTTTTGGCAACGGTGGCCTGGCTCCTGTTTAACGCTTTCTGCAAGAATACTCCCGCTAAATATCATGTAATTTTCATTGCAGATTACCGGAGAAGAGCGAATCGAATGAAGAAATGTATGCGTCTTTCATGGAAGCATAACCCATGTGTTACATGACCTTGATAAGGAAAATGATTTGCTGAAGAGTTGAGCTCTTGGTCGAAGTTCAAAAATATTGAGCACAAGGGGCATGGTTTGCCAAGGGAGAGATGTTTCAAAGGTACTGCTACACCGTGAAAGTAGGACCAATAGCTTTCTGATTTACATAATCTCACCTATTTTCATTTGTACGTACTCTGTACTCCGTAATCATTTCAAATTCTCACCAACTCTCCACTGTTAATCGAATACAGAGTATAACGTTAATGAGAGTTCGGCCCCCACCGCATACTGGCCGTACTGCTGCGTCAGGAACCGAAAATACGATGAATTCTCAGGGTATTCTGCAGCAAAATCATATGACATCATATAAGAGCTTCGGCGGTTCGTGCTACTAGATCTGGGCAGACCAGCGGAGATCTAGTTAGTCACTTTCTTCATCGTAAAAGGAACCGATTCGGCCTCGCGAATCATGTCTGTTGTATGGATTAAATTGCGCCACCGTGGGGTCTGAAAACTCAGTTGCCGCCTTCCTGGAGAAAATCTGGGGTAAAGGTTTCCAACATGGTTTTCCGACCCCTTTGGTGGCCCTATTAGCAATACTTTCAATATAAGGTCGCCCTCAATTGGCATCCTACGACACAGCGATTGGCATAACCCACCCGAATACGAGAAAGAGATGACTGCTTAGGTAGACTATGCCCAGCCTGCATACTCGGTGGCACAGAAAGACCTACCTGCAGAAATCAAGCGTTGAGTGAAGGTCGGAACAACTGGTGACCAGACGTAATTAGGACGCATTTCGCTGTGCAGCCGATGCGATACGAATTTGTCGGTTGCACCCAATTGGGGACACACTTTTATGGTGAAATACTGAACTCGGCTCAGAAGCAGGTTGGTTGGTTAAGATACCTTCGGCTGAGGATAATACGTGCATCTACACGCTTGAACATCCAAATAAAAAATTATCAAGGAGGCCTTACAATATATAATGAGCAGAACTCATTCTACATAGCGTGAGCACAGATTGTTTTGCCGAACATGACCTGTGCTTGAAGCTAATTTTCCCATCATGAGGATCAACTTCCCCAGTCTCGTCGTCTATGCCAGCCTTGTTGTAGTGGGAGCGACACCACTCAACGCAGAAAATACCAACCCAGCTGAGAGCGACCTCTTCCAGATTCTCGAAAAGTGCAGAGGCTGCAGTGGCAACTGCAAGAATACGGATGAGTGTCAGGGAAGAAGGCTCAGGGTCGTAAATTCTTTTCACAATTGGTCAGCCAGCCGCCAAAACCAAAAACATTCTGTAATGACATAACTGACGTGTGCCGCTTCCAGCAAAGCCATGGGTGGGCATTGTTGCGCTCTTGAAAAGACTCGCGAATATGACTTGCACGTTAACAAGGGGATCAGTCGGGAGGATTGTGGGTATTGCTACACTGGATATTGTAAATCGCCGTAGCCGATAATTGGCTACTTCTGATGTCTTATGGCCTGGACTTGGGAAGGTCAGATGTGTTTGGTTGGAGTAACTGCTGGATTTAGTCTTCTGCTATCATCTTCCACCCAAGTGAGACAAATCATGCTGCTGCAGTGGACATATATAAAATTGAACCCTGACGAAGAGTGCAACTACAGTACCACGTCAAAAGTATTGGATCAACGCGCACTTTTTTTCCAACACGCGTTTTTTACTACCCTTTTCAACCAACCACCATGAATCAACGCAGGGCTTTGGCGCCTCTAGAAATCAACAGGAGCTATGGCAAGGAGCTATCTCCATTTCAACGCGGTCAGATTTCAGCTTACAAGGCTGTGGGGCTGTCAAATGCAGAAATTAGTAAAAAAGTTACTTGCAGCAAATCTACTGTTTTCAATACCCTTGTACGAAATCTACTCTATAATAAAGGTAATAGCTTGCTGTGTTTTAGTAGACCTCTTATATTAAATTACGTTTAAAAATAAGATGTTTTATATATTATTTAAGCTAATTTAAGAATTACTTATATAGCTCTTTAACTTGTCCTTAAGATATCTATTTTAAAAAGTACTCTTTATTAAATACTTAAAGATAAGAGCATTACTAATTAGCTTGCTAAAAAAAGACTTTTTTTAACTTTTAAAGTAATTACTAAATACTTTACTTAGTATTTAAAATAAAAAAATTAAATATAAAATAATTAGTATAAAATTATATTTAATAATAAATATTTTCTTAAAAAAGACTTTAAAACTTAGTAGAGTATAAACTTCTAAAGATATTAATATTATAATTTATAAAAATAAGCATTTAAATATTACTTTTTTAAAGTATAATCCTAATTTAAAGAAGTTAAAATATATTATTAATTCTTATCTTACTATTCTCTATAAACAAATCCTTTAACTATATAAATCTAGCTAGATTTTTATGTAAGATAACGCCTGAATCCATACTGCAAAAAAGGTTAAGGCCTAGTTAGAGGAGGAGGGTATATCTCTGCTTGAATAGCCCCCTTATAGTCTGGATCTGAACCTAATTAAGCATCTCTGAGCGCAACTCAAGCAATGAATCAATGAAAACTACCCTGACTTAATCAAAATAGGCAAATTCAAGGCTGAGTATCAACGTCTGTTTACAGCTATTCATGATAGTTGGGACGCCATTAGGCAAGAAGCTATTGATGCTTTGATCAAGAGCATGGATACCTGTATAAATGCAGTGATCAGGGCCAAGGGATGGTACACCCGCTTCTGATATCTAGTCGCCTATTTAGGAAATTAGTACTATTCGAAAAAGCAGATTTTAACGTACCATTTAATTGATTCTTATAGAATTCCAATAAATACCGGGCGTACAGTAGTAATTTGTATGGGAAGAGTGGAAAATGTTGGTGGGGTGAAAATGCGGGGTTGGTCCAATACTTTTGACCTAGTACTGTACCACAGGCTCGACTGTGGAAGATGAGAATCCAAAATATTATCGTCCAGGCATTTGAGATGCCTCACGTACAGCTTACTAAGAAAGTCAAGTACAGCATATGATTAAGAAGCTCTTATGATATGCTTTGTCTCCGAGTCAGGCAACGTACATCCAAGGGTGGAATAAGAAACTGTGGAGCAGATAGAAGAAATGGCTCTGTTCGTTCAAAAAAAGGTGCGGGGCGCAGAAATAAGTACAAATTTGCTGTACGGCATAGCGAAATTGCAGCAGAAATTGACCAATCAAAAGCAAGAAAAACGCAGGGATAACGTGTATCAAACGCGGCCAATGAGCGCTCCTGCCGTTCAACAGAAATGCAAAAGCGTGATGGATTTCCTCGTTATGAGTGATGATTCCCAACAGTTTTGGTGCCATGTGCTTTGCCAAGTGGGCCACCCATCGTCCGATGGGCCTTCGAACTCCAATTAGGCGTGCAACATGCTAAATGAATGTTCACGTTAGCTTAATCCGGGCTGTGGCCCATAGACAGAATTGGTGGCCTTCTTGGCTCCTACATATCTGTCACAAGAAATGGCACCATCTAGGCGTAAGAGTCGGCCTAGAACAGCCCAATCATTATGACGCTTTTGATTTTGCCCAGACGGCCACCAGTTCTGTCTATGTAGTATTGGGCCTCGGGGGCTCCGGGCCCTCTGACCCCTGGTGGCCTGGGTCTAAGCTCCATGCCACATATCACGGCACTTTTCGCGAACCAAATCAACATCCCTCTAATACATCAGCCATTCATATCTTTCAGACAAGAGTAATAACGAAGTTTCCATCTAGCTTTGCGTGCGGTCGTTAGAGGCCACACCTCCTTCCCACCAACCAACCGAAAAGTGAACTGAGGCTGAGGGTGAGTTTAATCTCATCATTCTTGGACACACAAATAGTATTAGACATAACGGTCCTCAGAGACCCGCAGTCCTTTTGGTCCAACAAATAGCCTTGCCGGTTGTCTCAGATGCTGTCACCATACCGTGCAGGCAAAATGAGTGGCTGCAATTGATCACCCATTCGTCCAACCAACTTTAGCCAAGCCTGCCTCCTGTTTCATTTCTGCCTGGCTCTGTTGCCTGCTTGGCATGGATATTGACCACCAAGACATGTTCATCTCTTCTCATAGACATTCCTTCCAATCTTCAATCTTCAATCTCAATATTCTGCAAGTCAAGCGAAACCAGTTGCAACGGCAGAGCCTCATCAACATCATCAGCTGCAAAGATGCCCGTCACTGTCAAGCCATCACCTGAGCTCGTCGGGCGCAATAGCGACATGACGGCTCACTCAGCAGAAGAATTACTGAAGAAGACATCTGAAGCCTGGTCACCCCCATACCAGCGCAGCGATTGGAGGACGGGCAAAACAGTAGAGCCAGAAAATCGACCCATAATTCAGTCGTCATTTGGCGACCTCGATCATGCTACCGCGGTCATCCCATATGGTAACGGTATGGTCAACGGCATCATCCGCGCGTTCCAGCAAGATCTTCATCTGGTCTTGCGACCCGACGACGTCTGGCTTTCAATTCTCACACAGTTCAGCATGTTTGTCAACGCCAATGCGGAACAGTTACGAGCACACTTCGTTGACCATGAAGGCAAAAAGAAGCTCTCCATCGATGTTCGTCCATATCCAATCTGGGATGTTGAAATGGGCAAATTCGCGCAGGAGATGACTCTCCTGATTGAGAAGAACGTTGTGGACCTCAAGCTCAGAAATTGGATCATTCCGAACTTCAGTACCACGACCAACAACGATAAGTCAGTCGCCTCCGTAGTCATGATGGGTACGTTGCAGAAATACTTTGAATACAGTTTTATGTGTGGTTGTGGATTTCCGTCAGTTACACTTCTGGGTGAGAGGGCCGACTGGGAGGAGATCTTGCGCAGAGTCCGAAAGCTACCGAAGTATGGCAGCCAGCCTACAGAGTGGAGTCTGCTACTCATACCTATCATCAAGCTTATGGTAAAATCTTTCGATCAGCCAGACTCGCAGCAGGTGAAAGATTTCTGGCTCCGAGCCTGTCACTCTGCTGGCCAGGATGGCTCTTTGGAAATCGAGACCATGTCCGGTTGGATCACAGCGTTCTGCTTCTGGTCCGAGGATGGCACTCGCATGATGAATTACTCGGACGAGGCTCTTCAGGGAGGTAGAAGTATGGTTCCACTCGCCGATCGTAAACGACTGGTCTTGGACAATACTGCTTATCCGATAATCCGCCGCAGTGGAATTCCGAATGGGGTCGTGTCGGTTCCTGTTATCATTCGAGACGATGCCGCTGAACTTGTATATAAAACTACGATGGTGGCAGGCTCAGTGGGAATGACCGCCACAGCGGCCGGTGGTGGAGAGGGTCTGACAACAGTTCAACCCAGATCGGGGTGGTGGATGTTGCAGGATTCAGTCAAGCCAATTGAGTTTGATGGGTAGCCAGAGCGGCAAGGAGCAGTATTTTTTCCTTCCACCACTACTGCTAACAAGTGAATTGGCAAACCATCTTACGAGTCCTGCTTTTGTTGCTATTACTGGTGGAGAAAGCTTCAAGGTCTTCGGTGGAGTACTTTGGTAGGGAGCTTTGTTGTTGAATTTTGCTGGGAAACTTTACTGATGAGTTTGCGGACGAAGGACATTTATTATCAAGAGCGGAGTCTCGCTGAGGAACTTAGCTTTATGGTAGGTAGCTATCGGCTTTCCGAAGCATACCTTTGAGCTGAAGGCTATCATAGTCACCAATGACACATGCATAGGCAAAGCAAGAAAACCGCAATCACCTGCTGCTACACGATACAGGATCTGATCCAAGGTTTACGCACCATGATTGTATCAAGACCTTCTAAAGACGTTGAGCAGGATCGTATGGGTTTCGTGTGCAACCCCGACCCACTCGTGGTCGCTTTCTTAAATAATCCTCGCGGCTTATGAACCCGCGCCATTGTTGCATGACCTCGTGGCCCAATCTTCAACCAAACAAGATCTGTTCCCACTGTTCTCCCGTGTTGTATCTCCCCATTCTACACGACTTTCCTTCCCAGACGGGCAAAAGAGCCCCGAGTCCAGAACCTCTGCCCTCAAAACAGCGGATTCCATCGCCATCCCCAAGTCGGATTATTCAGCTTGCCGGTGAAATCGTCTGTTCGTCAATGCTATAAAGTGAAGGAGTTCATTCTTTATTTTTGTTGCACCTTTTCTTCTCCATTTTATCTCCTCCGCTGATGCTAGTCTGGCTCTACAGTCCATCCATGTCTTTGGAACATTATCACCCTCCAAACCCCTATTTCCCCCTTTCTAAAGGCCTTGATCATCCCTCCATAATAGTAAGCGTACTATTACGTTGCCCCCTGCCGGCTGACGGGGACTTCTGCGGAAAAGGAGAGAGAGAAAGAGAGAATTAGCTTATTACTTTACCCCCAAGACCCTCCTGGATAAACTGGCCCTCTTTGTCTGAAAACCACAGAAATTTCCTCTAGAGTATAAACTTCTGCGTACCGCTTTCCGGGTTAACAAGGTATTAGGGCTATGTACCGCTTGACGATCGGGGGCCGAGTTTAGGCGGCATCGTGTGGTGTCCACAAGAACTACTGCGTGGAATGCGTTCATTGGGTAGAGGTGACCATCGCCACCGCAATCTGGGTTAAGCGAGACAAGGATGGACATACGACGCATAGGGTTGAGATATGTAATCTATTCGTTGGTTGGCACGCAGGCTAGTGAATACGAGATGCGATTGATTTTGTCCAGTCCTGCCCCTCCACACCAGACGCTTCTTTCTACTAAAAGGGACAGCCCAACCCTGATTACCTGAAAGATAAGATGGACACCACTTGTACTCATTTATGGCGTCCTTCGAAGCTTCGACTAGAAAAGCTATGGATAAAGCCACTGAAGGCACAGCGACGGTCACTAGCACCCCAGTCGTGGACTCTGACTTCTCCATTGGCCAAACATATCACGCCTTCTCCAAAGGAACCACAAAGACAGAGGTCGAAATATACTCGGAGAATGCCGACCGCCCAACATACTTCGTTACGGATGCAAAAACGACCTTCTCCTCGGCCTCGGACCTTACCGTCTATCGCGAGAGCAAAGACGGGCCCGTTGTAGCCCATATTCGTCTTCCGTCCTCGAGGTCGGGACCACGTAGCGCCGCCGTCATCACCTACCCAAGCCTTGAAGCGGCAATCGTCCGCGTCCCCGCCGGCAAAGAGGTCCTTTCGTCAGAGCAAAGCGTACATATTGACGGACGGGACTATATCTGGCAGGGAGAAAAACGTGGGGATCGCCCTGGTCTGCCAATCCAGGTCTTGAGAGACGAACAGGGTGATACCTGGGCTATGTTTGTTTGGGATCCGATGGGCTGGGATTCGAGGGCCCAACCTGGTGCATTTGGACGCTTGTTGCTTGTCGACATTGCTATAAATCAGGACCTGTTGGATCAGATCGTGGCGACTGCCGTGGCCCGAGTTTTTCAGCAGATAAAGCGGGAAACAGTGAATTCCATTGCAGGACAAGCTATTAGTGCGTGCGTTCCATTTGTGACCGACCCGATCATCATTTTTTGCATAGCTAATATCTCCTCGTAGCTGCCGCATTGTTGTGTACGGTAATGTGACTGTAATTTGGTTGATTGGCTGGCTAGTTATGGGTCAGGAACAAGATAGTTTTAGACTCCAATGGTTGGAACAAGTTCAGACTTTATTCCCACTCGAAAACACTCGGAGCTCCTAAAATGGCCATAGCGGGGGAAAGATGGCCGAAAGGCTCTATAGCCTTCAGGGAAGGAATTGAAGGAATTTCAGCTCTTTCAACACCTTTCTCGGATTTTTCACGTTGGAAGAGATTGAGTATAAGAAAAATGTTCAACCTATTGAATCAAATGCCCTGTTGATCGGTCTGAATTCACATTAGTTTTAAGTTACTGACCACGAGTGAGATCATCTAAACTCAATACCTCACTTTGTTTTCTCTTAAGTCACATTCTTCGTCAATCTCAGCTGGATCTTTGTGCATCACCAATATTGCAGACTTGTCAGCACGGCGTTGAGGTAGGCAAAGAGCTGACAAGTAATATATCCGGGCGCGGTGGAACTAGCTTTCTTCATGAAGAGCCATATCTCTAAACTTCATCACTTAGATCACTAAGCAACCTATAGGTCTCTACGAGCAGCAAGCTCAATTGCAAGAACGTAAGAGAGACTTACATTGCCTCAAGGCCGCTAACAGGCGAGATTGCGGGTGAAATGGCAGATAGGTGGTTGTCGACTCTCCTTTTGCGACACGTACTCACTAGCTCGATATCGAGAACGATGGTAACCATGAACCTGATTCCCAAAACTCGTAGAGATTTAGGCGGCCGCCATGATCTTCTTCAGATGGTGTTTCTGAATGTAGAGGTGGTATTCTGCCAGAAATCCGGGCTCAAGGCCAGAGCAGGTGGGCTGCCATCGACCGGACACTTTATCGCGAAGCGTACCTGTGCCAGCCTCGCCACTTGTGTCGCTCTCGGGTTATCCTCCAACTTGCACTAGTTGTGAGCATTGTCAGCATAAAGGCAGTAGGCCTGAGAGATAAGGGTTTCTCTTGTTTCTATGTCAATTCCAAAATACGCAAACCAAACATCTCCACACAAAGGTGAGAGACTCACAGATATACCGTCACTCCCGGTGGGAGAAGTAGGCAAGAATCATCTTTATCGAAGAAGATTAGGACAAGCACATGAATTTTCTGGTCTGCTTCCTTGGCATTCAGTTCAAGTTTGAGTGCTTCATGCTCGTTCATCTGGGGTGAATTGGCAGTACAGGTGATGGTCTGGGAGCCAGATTCGCAGGTCGGCAATGTGGTGTTTTAATGGAGCGCTGCTGGGCGGGAGGTGAGCTTCGTGAGGATCTAGATGTTACCAGTCATCTCCCGAAATCGGCACAAGAAGAAGTGCAGGACCGAAATGGTCTCGTAGGTGCCCCAGGCAACCGGCTTCGGTCCGAAGTCGGATAGGGGCGTATGTTTGATCTCGATAGACTCAAATGCTCGGTATATTATCTTCGAGTCTAGATCTTTCGATGTCAACTCTGTCAAAACCAGCGGCGGGGTCTCTGTGGCCAGCTCGACGTCCATTCAGCCAGTGCTAGCCCAGAAACTAACGCCAGGGCCTCCGGTGGACACCATTCAACAGTCCTTTGGGTGTTCTTGAGGTCGGCCAACAATGAAGTCATGTGCATGGCAAGGACCACAACTGGCCTGCAACAACACTTGGCTCAACTTTGATATTTCCAGTACGGATGTCTATACCTTCAGCACCCTTATAATTCTCGAGCACGCGGCGTCGCGTCTTCGTGGTGTGAGCCTGATGCTTGCTGCCGTTGCTTTTGCGAAAGACATACATCATACCACCATCCTGTTAATAGCGTAGTCACCAAGTTGGTCCAGCTAGGTGATCCGGCTCACCATCTTGTGCACATTGAGACAGCGGCTACCATTTATTTCTGCTTTTCATGTCCGGCGGTAAAGACCTCCAAAATGCGGTCCTGAAATCCCTCCACAAACGTAACTACGACACCTGCATCCTCTAGTCACTTCCTGCCCACGTTCTCGCCAATGAACTTCTCCGGCTCCTTGATGCCCACGTAGACAAGTTTGATTGCGCCGTTGAGCCTAAAGATCCTCTCGACGCAGGTCCTGTTTCCACTCAATCTCTTGTTGCACGGCTCCATCGTTGTATACAGCACTGCGTTCTTGGGTAAGACTTGCCCTATTCGATCCTCAGGAAGGTTGTGCTTCTGAGCTACTTTGATGAAGCAGCACTGCTCTGCGTGTGTACTTTCCGGATCTGTAGGGGTGTGTTCAGGCAGTTCCTTCGAATATCCAGTCGCTAAGATTTCGTTCTTGTCTGCATCGATAAGGATTGCTCCAACACAGAATTTCGTGGGTTCTGGAGGCGAGAGGCGAGCCTGCTCGATGGCATATTCCATATATCTCTTGTGGTCATCTGCTGTGATGGTCGGGTAGGACGCTTTGGAGGCCATCACAGATGGCAGGCAGGTCAAGTTTATCTACCGATGGGAAAAGGTTAGATACTATTGCATGGCGTGTAAATGACGTCGAGAAGCAGAGGCAACACATAGGTCAGTGAAGGGGCTTATTGCTTTCATCACGCTCCACACTCCATGTCGGTGATTCTATTCTATTTTTCGGGCGATTGGCCCAAGGCCCATGTAAACAATTGGTGTCGCTCTTGGCATGTCACAGTTCAACAACTTGAATATTAATGAAAAAGACAAGCAACAAGATATTGAGTAAAACATAGCAGCTGATCTGGCAAGAGATATCATGCCAAGAGAGACACCAGTTGTTTACATGATGTCGTGGGCCTCGGCCCTGGGGCCGAAGCTTGGCGCCAAAATTCATTGCAGTTCTCAGATTAGTGCTTAGATCATAATACTTTAATCTTCATTTACAATATCAAAACAAGCTATTTTTGGATAATTCAAAATCTAGGATAAAGACATAAATATAAAAATTTTGATTACAAGTTAAAAATTAAGTAATAATTATTATAAAGTATTTTATAACTAATTTAGGTTAGAAATTTAAAAGCTTTAAGAAAAAATACTTTTATTAGTAATAAATAATATTGTATAAAGATAAATTAAAAGAAATATAAAAGAAATATAATTTATATATTAGATAATATATTTATACTATTATTTTTAATATTTATTCTT